TTTGAAAATAGTTCCAAAGCTCACATATCCTGGCCTATATAATCAAAAATATCGAAACCATTATAAAGGTAAAGAACACAATAGCTATTTGAAACAACAAGAAAATACATTATCAGATGGCATCGTACTCCTTCATGCAACATCATTTCTTGAGTATCCCTCTATGCGACAGACATTTGCTGGGCACTAAGTCATATAGCAAGGTACATATAAGACATTATCTTCCCACTTTTAAAGCTTGTTTCTAAATAATTTCATGTAAGATAAACACATTGGTTATTTTCTCAATTCATTTCCTATAAAGCAATTAATTACATATAATTTCTGTATAACCAAGAAGTTGGTCTCTCTCTTTTATCCAGAATTAATGCTTTTCTGCACTGTTTAAATTTAAACAATTAAGTAACATCAATATTTTGAATACTGCAATGATATTTGTCCCAAATTGCCTCAATATCTTATGAAACTGAGTTCAGGTTTAATGGAAGAAACATTGATATAATTTTAGCCTCATTTTTTATTACTTATTTAATTTTTAGTCTGGGGCAAAATGCAATCTTAGTGTGCATTTTTCAAATTTTTTATATGCAGAAATTTTGGCATCATTGTTCCATGTCAGAATCAAATTTTAGTAAATACCATTCTTATTTTCAAATTGTGTAATATATATTTAAATACAGGGTGGTATATTTCACTTTTAGGTGAACTTGAAGTTTCTTTCATGCCAATTTAGTAGCAAATATATATTATATATTTATATTAATTTATATATTATTATATATATTATATAATTAATATATATTTAATATAAATATAGATATTTGTATTAACATATATAAATATAACTTAAATATATAAATATATCTAATATATATATTAGAGAAAATGAGAAATTATCTAGTTAATAAGGATTGTATAATTTTCAAAATTTCTATCAACTTAGAATATATTAAGAGTTTAATATTAGTCAGCAATGTGCTATCTATTCTTTGAACTGTGAAAAAGACACAGGGGCCCATCAATAAATGATTGGTGACAAATTGAGTGGAGGCGAGAATAAATGTTTTCCAGGCAAAAATGGAGTAGAGAAAACACTTATCAAAGAAGGAAGCCTTGGTCCAATCAGGCTTTGAATGAATGTGAAAAACAGATTGGGAGGGCAGATCAGCATATTTAACAGAACAAGCAGAGACAGGAAGGAGAAAATGAGTAATAAATGTTTATGGAATCAGATCAAATTCCTTTAGCAGGGTGCACTTTGTCTGCAAACAGTCTTTTCTAAAGTTAGCTAGAGAATAGAAGTACAGTTTATGGATAAAGATTATATATTTATAAATATGAAATTAGGGCCCATTGCATTTTCCAAAATGGTCACTGCAATATATCCAATCCCACACACTTTTCTTGCAACATGCCCTTGAAAGTCCTCCCATCGTATGGTGGCTTCTACTAATAAATACCTCTCCTTGACATCAGGCAGACCTCTGTGACTGCCTTGACCAACAAAGTACAACAAAAGCGATTTCATGTGATCTCCAAAACTAGGTCATAAAAATGCCATGCGCGTTTGCCTTGCTCATTTGAATGCTAGCTCTTGGAACCCAAGCATTATAGCATGAGCAATCCAAGCAGTTTCCAGGTGACATTATCAGCTGAGTTCCCAGCCAATGGCCAGAATCACCCACTAAACTTATGAGTGAGAGAGACTTCAGGTGATTCCAGATTCCAGCCTTCCAGTTAACCCTGCAGCCAGCCCAGCTGACACTGCGTGGAGTAAGGATAAGCTATTCCCACTGCCTCCTGCCAAAACTGCATGTCTGTGAACAACATAAGTGACTATTATTGATTTAGGCCACTAAATTTTGAGTGGATGATTATGCAGCAGTCTGGAACAATATATGTAATGGGAAAAATAATATATATGTATAAAAACTATTTTATTTGTTTATTATTCATTCCTTTATGCACCAAAAATTTATTGGATATCTGCTAGTAAATATTTACTAGTAAGTCAATCACTATGGTAGTCATTGGATATTCAAGTAGCAGTAATATGTGCATGTATCCACCACTTGGCCTAGTCTGTAATATTTTCTGGTGTGATAGATACTGATAGAAAACTATTAATAATTCATTAAGCAGAGAACATCCTTAATAATCTGAATCATTTTTGGAAGAAGTATCTCTAAATGATAATATTTACTCATCCAAAGCATCTGAGGAAAAATAAGAATAAATAAATAAATAAATAATGTTACTGATTTACTTAGTATACTGTAATTCTAAATTTATAGCATTCAAGAATCTCCAACTATAAAAGTAACTGAGAAATAAAAAGTGATTGGAAATAAATCAAATTACTTATTTCATTATTTACTGAGTTTAGTGAACACACTAGAATGAATTTATTCAAATGAAAATGACTCTTCTTAATAATCACTTCAGGAGGATTTATACTTCTGCCAGTGTCAACACAATTGCTGACAACATTTTGTGACTCTTTTATGGCAGCTAAAGGAGGTTTATAAATCAAAGGGAACTTTAATATTTCAGTTATATCTAATTTTTGACACCCAAATTATTATTATACTTATACCTGATTAGTAAATTTAATATTCCCTCTTAATTCATAGCAATGTTTATTTTTAAACATTACACCCAATTTCAAAGAAAGATCTGTCATTGAACATATTTAAGAAAAAAGTGTGACACTACCTCTAAGGGTCTCAGAGGAAACACAAATTATTTTCTGTAATAGATGCATTATTGAGATACTTACATGGGTGATTAATATAATATCTTTAAAGGGGACTGACTTAACTGTGTATGTTTGGGTATCTTTGAGAAAGTCCAGAAATCTTATACTCATATCTTACAAATAGAATTTAGTTTGATGGAATCCGAAATTGTGAATCATTAAACCTTAGTAAGACTCATAAAGCAATTATCTACTCAATGAAAAAGTTATAGTTTCCTTACAATAAAATATTAAATAAAACATGAGTATGGAACTTAACCTGAACAGAAAAATAAAATTTAACACTGCGAATATATAACATTTAATGTTCATATAACAATGAACATACAACATATACTCATATATATTCTATGAACATAAAACATTCAAATGGTATGGCCAGCACCATTCTAATTATTTTTGTTTATTATGAGTACTTTACAATAGACTGCCCTGTTGATGATCTTATGCTGGTTTCGGAGTTGACCAACGGCATTCACGAAAGTTATAGATTTCTTGAAAAAAACTGAAATGATATTATTTGAAAGAAAAAACTCTCACAGGATGAATTCTGAAATTCTACTATCTTCATTTTAATAAAAGAGGCATCTGTAGTCCTTTGTGGAACATCATTGCTTAATAGAAATAGATTTTGACATCCAGTGACTTTATCATAACTTTAGCAACACAAAACCATATTTCAATTAAGTTAAACCTATCTCCTACAGTAGAATCCACTCAACTTGGACGAGGAAGTGGAAATGAGGCAGACTATCACCAACATCATATAGCAAAGTACTTTCAGATTATTTTATATTATATTAAATGATTTAATATAGAATTAGAGTTCTCCCCCTTGTGGTCAATTAGTTAAATTTCTAGATTACCTGCTGATAGTGTTTATATAACAAATACAACGCACAGGTTTTAAAAGACTATAGAGAGAACCCCCTTCAAATATCTGCTTTACTCTCTTTGTTCTATAGATAAAGATTCTGAGGCCCAATCAAGGTGTTTTGCCAATAGTAAAAGCAAATGTAACAATATAACAATACACTACTATAATAGTAAAATAAAAGCAAGATAATAGGAGTTCCCTATGTCACTCCATCACTCTTAGTTATACAAATCTTGATTCCTCTATAAGTAAATAATTTTAAGCAAATTATGCTTGTAAACTCACTTTTTCTCATTATGTTAGAATTTTTAATTCTGTTATGGGCAGTTTTTAACATCTAAGAAAACATCTTCATTAGCTGATCTGATGTTGGGTTGCTATATAAAGAAACGATCCTTTATATTGGGCAGTTTTTAACATCTAAGAAAATATCGTTTCTTTATACAGCAACTCAACATCAGATCAGCTAATAAAGATGTTTTCTTAGATGTTAAAAACTGCACATAACAGAACATAATGAGTGAGATGTGTACCATCTGGGGGATGGTCATGCTGGAAACTCAGACTTGTGGGGGTAGGGAGGAAAAGGGCACTTATTGAAACCTTAAAATCTGTACCCCCATAATATGCAGAAATAAAAGAAAAAAAATATTAGCACATACTAATCAAAAAAAAAAAGAAACGATCCTCAGTGCCAGTCTCTGTATTTTTTCATTTTTTTGAAAGACCAAGTTCAACACATTTTATTTTGGTTATTTATTATATTATTAATTTCTAATAATGGTTGGACTCTAGATTCATTAAAATACTTTTGCTAGCATGCTTCTATACAGGCAGAAACTTACGAAGAGATTTGCCTTATAATTTAGACCAAATATATCTGATTGAACATAAGTAGCTATGAAGTTAGAACAAAAAGGATCCATTTTTAACTGAATATGAATATTTAAAGAATTTGCTCACCTATAATTTTCAGTGGAAAGGATCGCCTTCTATCCCCAAGGAGAGAGAATGATAGCCTTGATAAGGCGTTCATCTCTTTCCCTCCTCATTCTAGTGGTATGCTCCTCAAATCCAATCCAATCCATGCCATGACCACAATGCCCACCTAAGAGCTAATGACTCCGAATACATGTCTATATCTTCATTTATTCATTTCACAAATATTTATTGTACAACTACTTTGTTTTCAGCACTGTTTAGGCCCTGAAGGCACAATGGTAAAAAATAAAAATAAAGACAAGGTTCGTGTTTCCAATGAGCATGTGCTCATTGGATGAAACAGAGAAGATGATTTCAGATGACTTTGTGTGCTGTGAAAAAAAAAGTGTTAACACTGACAGTGATATAAGGGGTCCAGTTTACCTTTGGTGGTCAGGGAAGCCTTCTCAAAGGAAGTCATCTCCAAACTGAGATCTGAATGAGAAGAGGTGCCATTCGTGTCAGGATGAGATGGTAAAGGTGAGAACATTCTATAAAAGAGAACAAGAAGGGCAAAGGCCCTGGGGCAGGAGCAAAATTGTTGTGTTTGAAGAACAGAAAGAAGACTAGAGTAGCTGGAGTACTGGAACTAAGAGGAGAATGAGGTTAGGGAGGGTGGATAGGGAACAAGATGTAGTGCCTAGCAGTCATGATTACAGGGTGTGGACTTAATTCTAAGTGTTTTCTTTACTGCTACACCAGATCCCTCCTGTTCCCCGTTCCTTACACAGGGCACTCTCAAGAAGTCCCAGTGGATCCTCACAGGCATTTCCATCTTCACGTGCTCTAGATGGAATGCATCATTTCCAGTGGCCACTATTTCTTCAACCCTCCCCCCCACATACACTACTTGTTACTATCAAATGTGCCAATACAAACAATTGTTTGAAATCTGAAATCAGAAATTTGAAACTCATCCTAGGTTCCTCCCTCTCTTTTTATCATTGAGAGCCAATCAATCCAAGCACCATCCATTTCCACAGTATTTCTAGCATCTGGTCTTGTCTCTGTGTCCTTCTTAGGGATCTCCCTGTCCAATCTCCTCCTCACCCCTCTCTCTTCTCAGCCTGTGTCATACATAGTTCTATCAAGCATAAAGGTAGAATAATAGCATAAGGTTTAAGAGAGCATAAGGTTTAAGACACCTCTGATGTCAAATTGCTGAATCTAAACCAAGATCTGCAACTTTATAGAACTGTAATTTGTTTCTCTCTACACCTCATTTTCCTCATCTGCAAAATGAATGTGATAACAGTATCTACAGTTTTAAGATTGGTTATGGTTAGCATATGAAATAATGATGTAAAAAGCCTAACATACAGTGACATCTTTAAAGAAGAATGTTTAAACACTTTGTTACAGAATTTACAGTTTGACAAACAGTTAACTTCACTGCAATATAAGCATGCAAACCTCATCTTTTAAGTTACATTCTCAAATTCATCTTTTCCAAGTATATATGTAAACTCATTGTATGTAATAAGGCCTTTAAACTTAATGTGAAGGAACATCTTCAAAGAAGCATGATTAAACACTTCTTTACAGAGTTCAAAGTTTAGTTAACAGTTAAATTCAGTAATTTGAGTACAGTAGGTGCTCAATAAATGTTATTCTCCTGATCAAAATTCTTCATGGCTTTCATTTTACCTCCAGGAAAAAAAGCAAAATTATATTATGATTTGCAAAGCCATGCATCTCAGATTCTTCTTACTTAGCTACCCGGCCTCACTTTGTGATTTTTCTCTTTCCCTTTCTCTTTTCTCATTCTCATTTCCACATTTTTTTTTCTCTAATGGGCACCCAATATTTCTATGCTGTTTACCTTCAACATCCTTCCTCACTTCTCTTAGCAAAACTCTGCTTCTCAATCAAATTTTATTTCTTCTGTGAAGACTGGCAAATTCAAGAAACCCTTTTCTGTCCTCATTGTCCATGGTACTCCACCACATTCTAGCAATTTTCCTGCCATACTGCTGTTGTTTATGTGCACATTCTTCTTTCTCCCAGCAACTTGTAAACAATTACCACGGCATGTGTTCTTCTTTTTTTGTTTTTGATATTTGTATCTTCAGTGCCTCAATAACAAAAAAGAAATTGTTTAAAATATCTGAAAAAATTTTTCCATAAGATTAATTTTATTTTTATCAAAACTGCTGTGCAATCTCAATATATTAAAATGCTCTTACATGATTTATTAGGCTCTGGCCATTGTCCATGAAGCTCTTAATGGCACAAGTCAAAATACAATTGTTGCAACTTATCTAAAATCTCCAGTTTTACCCATGTAATAATTTCTTCCACTCTAATTCAGAAGGATACCAAGAAGCCATTCTGGAAGTGATTCAGTCAAACTTTTATATTTACATATTAGTACTCACTGAGCCAAGTACAAGAGCTCATCCCCGTTTCACTGGGTTAAAGTACCATTTTCTAATGGAACATCTGAGCAAGTTACTAGGAAGGCATATCATCTTTATTCCACATTAAAGGTGTTTTCTTTATGTTTCTCAAATCCTTATTTTATTACTCATGCTTATCTATTCCTGGAGATATATGTATGCTTAAATTATCATAAAATTCTAAATTTGATTTTTTAAGTTATATAGCTCACATTTCTGTTTTTAAAATATTAATGTAGTTTTAAAACATTGAATTAATTTTAAAGTCTTGATTTAGGGAAGAATAAATTTCTGTTGAAACATAGTTTTACATGTTACTAAAATGGACTCTAGTATAATGATCTCCTCGGGGATTACTTTCACTCAAGTCTACCATTCCTTCTCTTTCTTCCCAGTTTATACTATACTTTGCTTTTTGAAAGCAAAATTAATTATGGACTATTCTATAACTAAGTTTCTTTCATAGAAGACAAAAACTACTACATAACTTGTAATAGTTTAATTCTTTCTTTGATTCTTCACTTTTTATCACATGCAATGACATTTCTTGAGCACATACTCTGTTCCAGCCAAAATCAAAATGAAAAATTAAAAAGAACATTGAAGTGAGATGAATGACTTCTGTTATGTACTGTCTCTATGACTTACTCATTATATGCCCATGAACAAGTTATATATCATTTTGGGGGCCTCTGCTCATCTACATTGTGCAATCCATGAGCATCATAAAGAAACCCACGAAGCCCCAAAACTATTAGTCGAAACTGTGTCTGAAAGCAAGCCTGCAGTCTAAGGCAACCAGGTAGGTAGAGGATAAGACTTATGTGCTTGGATTAAAATTTGAAAGCCTAATGTCTGAATTAATAATTAACCTACTCTTTCAGTGAGTATCTAGGGGCTATATCAACATCCCAAAAGAATTTCCATCCTGGTTGCATCTATTTTAGTACAAAGATGGATAAGAAACTGAAATGCCAGATTACAATATTAAATGACAACACCTAAATAGCAAGTTTAATAGTGCCACTGAGAGGCCGGGCGTGGTGGCTCATGCCTGTAATCCTAGCACTCTGGAAGGCCGAGGCAGGTGGATGGCTCAAGATCAGGAGTTCAAAACCAGCCTGAGCAAGAACCAGAACCTGTCTCTACTAAAAATAGAAAGAAATTAATTAGCAAACTGAAAAAATTAGCTGGGCATGGTGGCACATGCCTGTAGTCCCAGCTACTCTGGAGCCTAAGGCAGGAGGATTGCTTGAGCCCAGAAGTTTGAGATTGCTGTGAGCTAGGCTGATGCCACGGCACTCTAGTCCAGGCAACAGAAAAAAAAAAAAATAGTGCCACTGAGTCCAAAGAAACCACGAAGAATGAGGCATTGTTCTTTAAAGTTGAGGGAAAGTCATTGAAGATTTTATGCAAAATATAATCAGACTTGTTTTGCTACTGGGTAGAGAATGGCCTGGCAGAGAACACCTTGGTGCAGATATGTCCCCCCATAAGTTGTTACAACTGTTCTTGCAGAAGATAATATAGCTTGAACTAGATTAATGACTGTGGAAATGGACGTAAGAATGCCAATTTAAGAGATAACTAGCAGGTAAATAAATATAGGTTATGAGGGAGAGAAAGGTGTCAAATATATTAGGTTTCTAGTTTTTCCAACATGATGGTGCTGTTCTTGGGGTAAGAAACTGAGGTAAGAAACATACAAGGAGTACTAGATTTGTATAGCAAGGGCATGCTTTCAATTATTGACATGCTTCTCATATGTACACATACATGTGCATGCATAGATAAGGCATAGATGACATACATTATATTAAATTTTATTCTTTGTTTAAATGGCTAGGTACTAACATGCATTTTTTGATATAAATAATCAACCACTAGTAAAGAAAACAGAATGAAAGCAGTTTGGTAATTCAAAATAAATTAAGCTAAAGGAGAAATTGTCCCAAAGATTATTCTGAGCCTAAAACATCCCATTTCCCCTTAATCTTATACCTGCATTCAGTGGAGCCAAAAATAAAATAGGCAGTGCTCGTGGAGCTTAATTCTTTCCCTTAGTCAAATAAGTCATTTGAACATTAATCCAAGAATTATTTATTGACTGCCCATTATATGCACAGTCATGTGTTAGGGGCCAAGGAAGACACAAGCACACAAAAGACTTTACATGGCCCTCCCCAAGTTCACTGGTATAGCATATGTTCCATTTGCAATGAAAATTTAAGTGAAAAGGTATCTTGGTACTGTATTGCAACAGCTTGCCCATTGCCTCTCTCAACTGATACTGGAAGAACATATGAACCTTGAATTTTATTCTCTCTCTGTATGAAGTTTTTCAGCAAGTATGAACTGAAATACTGTGTCGGGCACTTTGCAAATGGGGGTGTGAAGTGCAATCATAAGCAAATTAAGCATAATTCCTACCTTAGAGTGTATGCAGTCTCATTCTCCCTCTACCTCAGACACATAAAATGAAATTAAACAATTAATTGCCATCATTGTAGATAATAATAAAGGTTGCAATGGTTTTCTAACTTTACCTAGTTTAGAGGGCAAGGGGATATCTCTGAGGAAAGAAATATACAGGGAATTCTGAACGTTAAATAGAAGTGAGACAAATAAAAGACTAAGAGTAGGAGGGGAGTGTTCCTGAAAGAGGAGATTTATATATGTATGTATATTTTTTTCCTAGCAGAAAGATGTTCAAAAGTTAAAGTAAAGAAGAGCCATAACGTGTTGCAAAAGCTGCAAGAATTTCAATAAGGCAGGGCTTGAAGTACAAAAGGGAATCATGATATGAGGCTGGATTATTAGGCATGGAGCCAGATTATACAGACATTTACAACTACCTAAGGACTATGACTTTATCTTAAAAGAAACTGGACACAGTTTCACATTTATCATGGAAATACTATCACTATATATGCATTATAGAAGAACCACTTTAAATTGGGGAGAAAAGATAGGAAGGGAGTTGCATTAATTTCTGCTGTAATACAAAGCGAGACGACACAAGATCTGCGAAAGGGGCTACACATCTACTCGCCATCAAATTGGTACTGATTGACTAAAACTACAGTGCTCAAAAAAATGGTAGTGTTCAACAGGGATTTGTGGGGGAAACCCATATCTTAAGGAAGTGGCGAGCATTGTGGGGGGGAAGGGATTACCTCTATCCCTTTTTAGGGAGAGATAAAGATATACAATGTAACCAAAATGTTTGAAAAAAAATCTGTAATTGGGAAGTGGACAGGTGGAAGGGGGGAGGTGAGGAAGGGTATGTACTTGCACAGTGGGTGCCGTGCACACCACCTGGAGGCTGGACACTCTAGAAGCTCTGGCATAGCGGGGTGGGGGGGGCAGAGGCAAGATATGTAACCCTAACTAACAATATCTGTACTCCCATAATATGAAGGAATAAAAATTAAAATTAAAAAAAAATTTCTGCCTCGAAGTCAAATAAGAAAGAGACTAAAAACTGAGTTTAATGACAAGAAAGTTATTGGTCATTTGGAAAGAGCCACCTGTGAAATGTAGTAGAGGCAGAAGTAGCATGCAGGTTTGAGAAGTGAAGGTCTGGGGAGGAAATAGAACAAGTATAGACAATATTTCCCAAAGCTTGGCTCTTGGCAGCAAATTTGCAAAGTAGATTTGAGAATGTTAAGATTCCTTTTAAGATTCCAAAATTTTTACTGAAAGGAAGACCACAGGTTTATTCTGGTTGGAAGTAAGGAATCTGTCCTTTCATGTGAGATTGAATGTCCAATTACGGCCCAAGGGAAGAAAGCTCTATCTGGGTTTGAATGGCAATGTACAATGGTCTTTTGCTTTAAAGGTCCCCAAGTGACCATGTGTACAACTCCATAATATAATTTGGTCTTAATAAACATTTTTTAAAAAATAAATAATTGCACTAATCTCTAGAAGAAACCTTGCTGTGCAAAATGTGAGTTTAGAATATGTGTGAGCTCTAATGTTATAGCTCAAGCCTTGGATTATTCCATTGGTATTTCCATGGTCACACTGTTATAGTTGATTACAGATTATGTCATATGCTTTATATACTTTAGAGAACAACCACATGGTATTTGTAAATTTTGCTCTTAAATCTGGCCCTTATCCAGGTCACTTCTTTCTTTGCCCAGTCAGGGTATGCTAGAAAACTGCAAACTATAACCAAATCTCAATTTTCCAAACTAATGACTTTGAAGAGCAAGAATGCAAAATCCAAAATGACAGTGACTTCATGAACCATTTATCTTTGTAATAATAGTCATTAAACTTGACTATAAATACATCATATATTCATAAAAAATGATAAAGTATTTCAACTGAAATGAATCAAGGGGCCTTGGAACAGTTTCCATCTCTCTATTTCTACTTCCTACTTACACCATATTGTTTGTATCACCTCTTATGTTGAGGTAGCTTCTTATAATAAACTAACATATCATGATTTTTAGGATGGAGGAGGCAATGAAGTTCCATCTACTCCTTGGACCATTCCCTTATTATTCCAGCCATTCGCTATAGTTATATTTCTCGTTCTTTGTTTCTCTGAAAATTTTCATTCACAAAAGAGAATATAATTAACCCATTTATCTATCACCCACCTTCAACAATGATCAGCATCCCTTTTCAAAATTTACTCTTTTGTAAGAAACATGACTATCCACTCTCTAAGATGTTATCTGTTAAC